AATGCAGATCACATTGCATTGATCATAGAACTTCTGGGGAAAATACCTCGCAAGCTTATTCTGGCAGGAAAATATTCCAAGGAGTTTTTCACCAAAAAAGGTAAAAGGAAACAAAGCAAATGTCACTTATCCATTCATCCCCTGCCCCAAATACACAGGAGTGCCTTGCTGGGAATACCAATTAACAGATGTGAGCAAAGATGCCTCTTTAAGCCTTTCCTTTGTTTTATGAAAGGCTTTCTCAGTAAAACTGCAGCTAAACATAAGGCATTCTTGTCTAACTGCTAAAAGTATCCTACATCCTAGTACTTGACACCTTGGCGTAGATAAATGCAGCGGGTAGAAAAACAGTACTGTAGATATTTATTCAGACTTGATGTGGCTTTATTTAGCTGATGTTTGTCAACTAGAGGTGTTGACTCACCTTTGAAGTCTTCTCTACACAACTTTGTTCCATTTCTAGCACACTAGTCGCCTAACTAGGGCCTTGCATCCTGAGCCATGTTGCTCAGGACACGTTATACCATTATCATAAAGCCTAAGTACCCCAGAAATGTCCAAGAGTCTCAAGAAAAAGTTTTTGACCTAGTTTAATACTTTTTTTTTATATAAAACAAACCCTTTTTTTGGTAGGAGAATATTGCTTCCTCAAACAATGCTGCATGTATTCCAAAGTCAACAGCACAGTGTTTGTCTGTCATGTCAACCGGTATAATTGGTGATTTAATGAAGTTAAACATTATTTGCTTACACTGAATCAGAAATAGCAGGAGGGAAAAAAAGAAGCCTTCAAGGAAGTACATTTCTAGAAAAGTCTTCAAAAGCAGATAGAAAAGGGGTTTTAGTATAACTTATTTCTTCCTTTAGCATGCTCTACCATTTTATATTCCCTATGCCCAGCTACTCAGAACAGTTTCTGAATTCAGTCTGTCTTGTTTAGCTGTTCAGCCTATTTTATTCATCTGCTCTGTTCCCATGTCTTGCAGTTAACCTGTCTGTCTTGGTTTTCAGGTGATCTGAAGCACATCACCAAACTGAAACCCTGGGGCCTTTTTGAAGTTCTGGTGGAAAAATACGAGTGGTCCCAAGATGAGGCAGCCGCATTCACAGACTTCTTATTACCTATGTTGGAGCTGATCCCGGAGAAACGAGCTACAGCAGCAGAGTGTCTCAGGCACCCCTGGCTTAACTCATAGAGGCTTCAACCCAATGCCACAGCACTACACTCTGGTTTACAGCATAGCGTATGCACACCTAACTGCCCCTTCCCAGCTCCATTTTTTTTCCCCCCCCCTTGTTTCATTTTCAGTGTGAAGTTCTTCCTTCAAGACTTCCAAGATTTTAGATAAATCTAACCTGTTCTGCTGAGTTTGCTTGTGTGACTCAATGGGGACTCTCCTCAGCCAGTGGGCTTCATCTGTGTTTTGCCTTGATTGGGCTTCGCCAAAGACTAATTGACTAGAATATGAAGTTTTCCCTGAGTCTCCTCGCTGTTATGCACTGTGTGTTACAGATATGAGCTCACCTGTGCTCAGATACGTTCCCTTAGCTAAATTTCAACTCTCCTTTCCTTGTGAGTGGGATGTGAAGATCTGAATGCCTCCTTTTTATTGCTGACTTGGGAGTCAATTTCCCACTGTTGATCCACTAGCTAGCAATGGGGTGAGAAGTAACAGATGGCACCAGCGTGGTGTTAGTTCGTTGTAGAGCAAAGACCTCAAAATCCTCCATTGTTTTCTAGGTGCCTACTGTATTCTTTCCTTTCCGGTCACATAACTTTTCTTTAGTTCTAGCTGCATAAATCTTTTGAAAAGAGCTATTTAAACCTAGGTTTTAGTATCCTTTATTTCCTCCTCCCAAGCGCCCTGCCCCTTTACTTTTTCCTTCCCTGTGCCCAGATAGTCAGAACAGTTTCTGAACTTGGTGACACTTTCTATTTCAATGTGTGTGCCTATGACTAAAAGGTAATAAGCAAAAGCTGGAACTGACTCAACGCACAATCTTCAGCATGCAGATGGATGCGCCCTTTGGCTGCAGAGAGGTAGCCTTGTTGCAGGCAACTCTTCTAACATTTTAGTAAGCTGTAACGTTTTTTGGGGGGGTTATCTCTTACTGGCACTTTTGCCTTGCTTGAGGTGGTTGCTGTATCTGTGAGAGATTGGCTTCCACTGATGCAGTCTATTCTCACTCTTAATTTTTGACCATTCACTTTTTATCAAGAAAAAGGTGGCAGCATCTGTATCACAGCCATGCCATAGCCCTTGACTTTCAAAATCAACACTTGAAGGTGCGGTGTAAAGATTTCTTTTCCTTTAACTTCCTTCAGGTGCTGGCCTTGAGAAATCACTTCCCAGAACGGGACTGCCTTTTCTGGGCCATTAGCACAAGGAGAGCCTAGCGGAAGTGGAAGAGAACTGACTTTTCCATCTGGATACTGGATTAGAAGCAGTTTCTAATTACCCCAAGTAAAAATGTTCTGTGAAGTTTCTACATAAACTTCTCAGAGGGGGTTGGATATAATGAGTAAATGGGTTAATTTTAATTCAAAGTTAAATCACTGTGGCATTTGATAGTTTTATGGTGGCTTCTTCTAGACTTGCCCATCCTATTGCAGAATCAGTGCATCCTACTCTACAGCAAGATTTGGCAGCATTGAGACTTCAGAGGCACTTCCTGACCCTGGACCAAACAGGCCTTTGGATTCACAATGGCTTTCAGAGGATAGCAGTTGCTGCAGGAGCGTACTGGAGGCCACGCGGATGCTATCTGAGACAATTACGTTGCCAAAGCTGCCAAGACTACTGTTACGTGTCACTTCTGTATGTGTGTTTGGAAATCCTGGTTTGTAAGGATCGTTCATTCATAAACCTTGGTGTATTTTAATCCATTTGAAAAGAGTTTCTCCAGTCCAGTGCCTGATTGGGCTTATTAATGCAAATCATGCTGCATGTTCTTTTAGGGGTAGATCAGGTTCTCTATGCATATAATCTAAAATTAAAGGAAGGTAACATACCAAAAGAGTTTTAAACTGCTGATTTGACTTTTTTTTTCCCCCCCTTTCACCTGGAATTTTCCAGTTGTGTGTCACTTCCATATCTGTTACAGAAGGACCGCAGGCAGGACTGGGTTCCACAATACCTACTGTTTACGTACTGTGAAGATACATTGGCAGGGCAAACAGTTTCTGTTGTCTTGAAAGCTCACCTGGTTCTGTGTACTTGAGACTGGCTGATTAAAGAACTTTTCCTAGAAAGGGTCTGCACGCTTCGACTCTTGAGTGCTCCTTCCTATCCTTCCCTCTGCCACCCCTGACTGGAGGAGGAGGGTTTTTTTACTGTGATAGCCAAGGCTAGAGCCAAGTTGTGAGTGAAGACCCACAGAAGCAGCTGTCAGGATTCAGTCTTGTACCATGTGCTCATTCACTTTGGGTTTGTTAAATTTCCAAAATGCCGTAAAGTGCTCACACTAAAGGATTTGTACTTGCTTGTCAGTCTAAAACCTGAAGGAAAATACATTTTTATTCTTTCTACTTTGGTGCTTTGTCTTTTTTTCTTTGTGAAAGCTGTGCTATAAACAGATTATTTAATAACTGAGCCCTATTGCTCATATGTTCCTTCTGTATGTCTGTTCTTTCTGAGCTAGTGGCCCATGGATTGAGTTTTCTTTGCTAGTGAGCACAGTTTTGATTTCCAGAATGAGATGCAAGGAGATGGTGTCAGTGAAGACTTTGTTGCTTGTATTGTGATCTGTTTTAAAAGGGGGAGAAAAGTAGTCCAGAGCAGGACAACTCTGGAATTTTCCCATTTTAAAATATGTTTTCCTTCAAGTCCGTTATCTCTCTGTCTTCCCTAGCAAAGAGTCTTAATAAAAGCTTCCCAAACACTTTTTTTTTTTTTTAGAGGAAAACACAAAACTGGAAGGTGCTTGTTAGAACTGAATTGAATCAATGCTGCAGGAACCAACACATTCCTGCAAGTAGAAATGAAAAGTCGTAACACGGGCTAATTTCAGGTTCTGACCAGGTTAAGAGCTGGATCAGATGATGTGCTGCTCTGTCTTCTGCAGAAATGGATACTGCTGCAGATGGGTGTTGGATGTGATGAGAAATGATGGCTAAATTGGATTAATCAGGTGGTGCAGCAAGCTGATGCTGACTGGCACCATCTGCCGCAGTTTGCAGGTACTGTTATGGGCCTGCCACAGCTCAGCAGATTTGTTACTGGTTTCCCCCCCAGAAAAATACCCTCTTTAAAAGGTGGTGGTTGGTTATTGTCACCCAGAGTCAGAAGCTGATTCATGGCTTTGCTAGGAATTGGCTGTATCATCGGATTTTTCAAGTACAAGGACAACCTGGGACATGGCAGAGGACTTTCCCTGCCCCAAGGAGACTAGCACAAAATCCAGAATGCTAACTTCTTTTAATTCACAAGTAATTTCCTTGAAAGAAGGCGTACAAACCCCAAAAAGAAGCAAAGTGCCATCCCTCCCCTTTCCCCCAGGTTTGTTGATGGACTAAAAAAAAAAACCCCAACCAACCTGGATCTAGTTTGGGTTCTTCCCATCAAATAAAACTCCACGAGAGCTGTGAGCCGATAGTGGCCCCTTATATGAAAAGAACAGCTGTAGAAAATCCACAAAAGTTGTTAAGTTTAAAGCTCCTGGAAAAGTCATTTTAAAGAAAAGGGCCATGTCTCTTAAAGCTGATGGAAGAAGAGGTGTAGGTGTCCCTGTGAAGAGAAAGAAAAAGTCAGCTGTTGCTAAATGGAGTGTGACTCAAAATTTTAAGGTTTGGGGGGTTTTTTGGTCACTTGGCAAGGATTTATGTTCTCCTGGTTTCAGGAGGCAAAGCAAAGACTATTTCCCATTTAACCACAAATAAAACCCATGTGATCACAGCACCAAAATCTATAGTTGCCAATCCTTTAGTAATCCTCAACATACAGCAGTGGCGTTAATGTGTGCTTGGAAGAAACATTAAAAGTCACTGTAGGAATTGCTTACGTGGTGATCAGCTCTGTCAGTCGTTGCCCTCTTCTGTAATAAAAAAAGATAAATTACTGTGTTAATGGGGTGTAGGAATAACAACACCTGCAGTGTGATGACCACGACAGCTTTCCTGCTTCTCTCACTGGAGGAAGCCACCATCCTCCTACATTAACAGCAAACAGCTGAGGGGTGGAAATGCTCTGCAGCAGGATGGGGGCTTGGAGCTCAGCCCCAGCTGCCTTTACTTACCTTTATTTTCCACTTTAAAATCAGATGGGAGGAGGTTATCCTGCCGGTTCCCCAACACAAAGGCCAGGAAGGAGAGTATGAGAGCATCAAGGATGCCAATGATGCAGAGGATGTATGCCCAGCGCACGGTGCAGGCACCCAGCGTGTACTTGTCTGTCTTGTCCCCACACATGCGCTTCACCTCGCTCGAGTCCCAGCCGTCAGGGTAGATGAGGCAGCCGATCATCAGCCCGGTAGCTGTGGGGAGAAAGAGACGTTACAGCGGCTGGCAGCACGGCCAACCCGTGGGTGGGAGAGAAAGAAGCCTTACAGGCGCCTGCCAGTACTGCACACGGAGAGGCACGGCATGGCTGCGTCCAGCCACAAACACAGTGCTACAATGGACCATGTTCCCCATGCCCTGTGGTCTCTGCTCCATTCACACTGCTGCAGCCACGGAGGAGCAGGATACGGCGTGCTGCCTTCCCACGAGCTTGGCACGCTGCTCCCTGTCAAGGACACACTGCAGCAACATCACTGCGTTGCCCAGACAACGTCTCTCTTCTGCCTCCGCGTGCATCCCTGGTTGTGTCACTCTAAAGAAGTATTTTCTCCAGACAAAACTGGAATGGGTTTAGTCAGTGCAAGGTGGAGAACCTTGGAAGTGCCCCTCGCGTAGCTGGATTTTGGCTTAAGGTTTGCTAAGGTAGAGCTGCTGTCAACAGCAGCTTTGCAGGCAGATTAGTTCTGCTTGTTCAGCTGTGGGGGTTCCAGCCCAGTCGTGAGCCACCAGCTCCTCCTACAGCTGCTCTCAATGCCTGACCCCAGGACACACAACCTCGACAGCCGGCCCAGTGGGGCCCCTGGTACGTCGCCTTTCCAGCTTTGCCATGGGAGTTGCAACAAAGCCAGCACGAGCTGCCGAAGGGCCATCTTCTGCCTAGCAGCCCATTCCCAAAATCTCAGAAGTGCTTGTTTTTCACCCCACATATCCCTCACATTCAGAGAAACTGTCGTATTTGCTGGACAAGAGGAGTGGCCAGGCTTGGTAGGGAGAATAGCTGAGCTCATCTGCAAGGCTTTGGGATGTGATTAAGAGGCTCTTTGCATCCTCCACTGTTACCTTGGTGCAGAGTGTGGAAGTAACTGGTCTTTTATGTGTTTTCGTGCATATGTGAGGACCTTCTGGGCTCCTTGTGCCAGAAACAACCCCATGGTGGGAGTTCTGGACGAGTGGTCGTTAGTCCCTGTCCTTTGTGGACGTCCGTAGCCTCCTGCAGCAGCAGGGTGCTCCCTGCCCCATACCCGTGCCTTTTCTCAGTCACTGGGTGCCTGGTAAACCAGAAAATACGTCTGGGGTGATTGCCTCATGCTTTGCCAAGGGCTTTTCTCCTTGGCTTGAGGACAGGCGAGTGGCAAGGCCAGCAGGCAGCTTCCTAGGTCTGCAGAGAGCATTTCTCTCAATTGAGAAGCAGCTGGTTTCTCCTGTATTTAATTTTTCTTCCATGCAGCTAACGGAGAGGAGGGGGACAGAGAAATGGGGGGAGCTGGAAAGAAATCACTTCTCCTGTGAAAATGCAGCCTGGTGCAGAGCAAAGGCCAGAAAATGGATCCTCTCATTGCCTGCCCCCTTTTTACAATAACTCTCAGAAACACAGCAGCATCTGCATCGCCCAGTGGTGGCTCAAAAGCTCCTGAGATCCTGTCTGGTGCAGAGAAGCTGCATTGTCAGGGATGATTTGGGCTCATCTATGTGGCTGGAGCTGCCTGCACCGGGTTTCTCTCCCCATCTAGCACAAAAACCTTTCCAGCAAAGCCTTTCCCTGCTCTAGCTCCCTAGGAGGCTGAGCTGCCCCAAGCCTCTTATCTAAATCTTTACGTGAGCTCCCTACTTGAGCTGGGAACTGGAGCAACTCTGATGCCACGACCATCTTCCCGCAGGGTTTCAGCCGAGGCGTCTGGGGACAGCAAAGGCTGCAGCCAGTCCCAGCATGAATGATTCAGGAGCAGCAAAGGGCTGGGTTGGGTTTCAGCCGAGGCTTTGAACGCAGGAGCTGGGTTACCAGGTGTCTCAGATGTCTCACTGCATCAGGGGAGGGATGGGGAAGGCTGGAGCTTTGCAGGGATGTGAGGATGAGCGGAAAAGTGGGAAAATGTGGGTGAAGGTACCAAGTCCCACAGTCAGTCCCCTCCTCCTGTTCCACCTCCCCCAAGCTCAGGGAGTTTCCAGTTGCTGCAGGGGGTATTATAGGCAGCAAATAACCCAGCAAACATTATCGCAGTCTCCCTAATTAATTCCTGCAGGATCCCTAACACAGCAGGGAACCCTGTGCCCTGGCCCTGTGGCGCTTGGTGCTCTTGGACTGATGCTCTGAGGCCATGACCCTGCTGCACCGCGGGGCTGAGTAGGAGCGATGGCATTGCGTGACAGCTGGAGGAAAGCTCCCCCAGGTAAGCAGGGACGGGCCGTGGCTGGACGGTTGGTGCCGTGTGGTTTTGCAACAGCACAGAGTGGGGAGCATCACCCACGTGCAGTGAGTCTGCTGGGTCTCAGCTGCTCTGACAGGCTTTACTTACTGCAAATTCCCTATTGGTAACCTGTAAGGGGGAGCAAATGGGGCAAGGATGTTACACTGGTGTCCCTTTCCTGGCCTGCCACCCCCTGGCAGAGTCGAGGTGGGGACAGAGAGGGAAAAGCAGCTCTAGCCGGACCATCAGCAGCCCCTGTCCCCCTGTGCATCTCCCCCAGTCCCACTCACCTGCTGCCAGCTGCATCCAGGCACAGACTTTATAGACAGTGGCTGCATTGCAGAAGAAGAAGAGACTGAAGCAGAGGATGGAGCCGATGATGAGGAAGGTGGAGATGCCTACAAAGAACATGGCAGTTTTGAAGGCGCTGGAGGGGATGGTGCCGAAGTCAAGGGGGCTGCCCTTGCAGATGAGCTCGCCGGTCATTTGGAGTAGGAGAAGAGACGGAAGTAGCCGGCCTGCGGCGTGTCGATGCTGTCGCCAATCCAGTATGGCTGGATGAAGGTCACCACCATCAGGATGGAGAAGCAGAGGGTGAAGAGGGCCCAGAGCACCCCCATGGCCCGCGCATTCCTCACGTAGTTGGTGTGGTAGA